CCATCTCCAGCAGACCAGGGACACCGGGAGCAAAGGAGGCGGAGGGGCGCTGGGGTATAAGATGAAACCCTATCTTTTAATTAAAAAGATAGGGGGTCATCTTATACGCCCAGTCGCCCTATACGCCGGAAAATACGGTAAATGTGAAGCCACTGAAAATTATGTGGAAGAGGGCAGGCACGCAGGGAGCTGGCTCCTGCCTCTCCCCCACCCCTGTGCTGCTGCTTCTGATACAGAGCCCAGGCTCATCAGTTATCTATGTACATGGTTATACTTCCGCATCCCTAATGGAGATGGGAACCCCTTTGGAAATTTTAGGCATAGTCTGTGGACCCTCAGGGTGCATCTACACTGCACCTTTAGCTTGAAGAGGGCAGGCACGCAGGGAGCTGGCTCCTGCCTCTCCCCCACCCCTGTGCTGCTGCTTCTGATACAGAGCCCAGGCTCATCAGTTATCTATGTACATGGTTATACTTCCGCATCCCTAATGGAGATGGGAACCCCTTTGGAAATTTTAGGCATAGTCTGTGGACCCTCAGGGTGCATCTACACTGCACCTTTAGCTTGAAATAAGATACGCAATTTGCGCTATGCAAATTGCATAGCTTATTTCAAGTCTATTGTGAAATAGGTTATTTTGAAATTTGGCTCTGTCTACACAGCACCATATTTCAAAATAAAGTGAATAAATGGTGAAATAGCGCATCTGCTATATTTCGAAATTGTGGATGCATTCAGAAGACGTGAGGTAGACCTCTGGTATCCCGAAATAGCATTGCAGTGTAAACATGCTCTCAGGGGTCTATGGACCAGAGGTTGAAAACCATTGCCTTATATTTGATACATTGTTTTTCATGAAGTGTTAACTGCAGTTACCTTTCTTGCTTTCCATTCTGTGCTATGGACCAGCCCGGAAATTAGATGAGTGCAGGATTGTTCTCTGCAGTAAATTTACTAGTGTTTTATGAAGTTTGATTTTGAAAGACAGCATGCTTTCTGATCAAGAGTCACCAGGAAGAACTCATCAAAAGTATTTTTATTTTTATGTTTTGATTTGATTTGATTTGATTAGTCATATGGATGGAATTCAGCTTATTTAGGTCCCAGTCTTACAACCAACCATGTTTGAAGTCCATTGATTTCAGTGGGACCACACACAGGCATAAAAGTTACTTCTGAATGTATTAGTGTCTACAAGACTGTGGTTTTAGAAACTGTTTTAAAGTGTTATTCTTATGTCTGGTATTTCCTGAATAATATCTGCAGCTAGAGAATTTTAACCCTGTGTTCCTACTTAATAAACCCTTGGTACAAATCTTTCCTGAGAACCCACATTTACACTTGTGCATTTGTTTCTGGGTTAAGTTAATAATATTAAAGATCTCTCACTGCACTGGTTTTTTTAAAGCACTTGCCATCCTATTCGAACGCCTTAGGTGGGCAGAAGTCCTGTTGAAATCAATAAATTTCTCCCCAGATAAAGACTGTTTGGGCTTTAATTTTGTTTTATTTCCTTGATTTGATGTAAATATTTTAGTTCTTTTCCTTGTTTAAATTAAGTAACTTTCATATGTACAATCTATGGAGTTTTAAAACTAGGCAACAATGTAAAACTATCATCCTTTTGCTTGGAAGGACTAGTAATAGTTTTTATGTATTATATTATCATATGGAGCAGGTAAAATGTAGACAGTTCATTAACATGTTAAAGAATAAAGCTGCCTGAATGTTGACTCTTAAGTCATGAAAGCAAGAAACATTGGCTGAAATCAACCTTCATAGCTTAAGTCCTGAAATGAGAACTTCACTGTTGAAAGTTAAGCAGAGTGTAACTGCCTGAGTACATGCAACCATGTGCGTGACACTGCTGATCAAGTACAGCAAATAAACAGACACTGTCATGACGAAACCCCAGTATTGAAAATGCATTGAAAATGCACCTGTCTCAGAGGAGTAGCCATGGTAGTTTGTATCTGCAAAAACAACTAGGAGTTCTGTGGCACCTTAAAGACCAACCAATTTATTTGGGCATAAACTTTCATGGGAAAGCTTTTGTGCACCACTTTGTCAGATGCATGTATTACATACCTGGTTAGTAATACTGTTCCAGATTATTAACAATTAAAATAAATTGAGTATTTATATAATTTGTTTTCCTTTTGTCTAAACTTAATGAAATGCATCTTGAATAGAATGGTCAAGTATGTCTACTTCTAGGCTGTTTTGCTTCTTGATTTCCATGCACTAGGGCAGGGTTCTGTTTGGGTTTCCAACCTTGTACAGGAATGTCTGGAGCTAAAATTGACATTTATTAAACATTTAACTTCTCCCTGAAAACATTTTGGACCTAACCTATGTTACAGTGACTCTTCAAAGTGCAAAAATACTGCCAAGGCAAAAAAAGGAGTTCTGTAACTGTAGCTGATTTATTGTGCCCTTTTTCAGATAGCTTTGGCTTTGCAGCACTGTCACTCATTAAACATTGCACATAGAGACCTCAAGCCTGAGAATCTCCTCTTCAAGGATAACTCTTTGGTAAGATGAGGACTTCATTTCTTCTTTGGTGAATTTTGTAACGTAGTTCAAAGATGAAGCGTAGAAAAGTAGAAAATAATAATAATACTTAGTTCTTGTATTGTGATTTTCATCAGGAGTTCTCAACATGCTTTACAAAGAAAAGTCATTGTGCGTAGAGATCAGTCCAATCTTTTGGTGATAGCACATGACTGACTCCTTCAGTGTCCTACTTTTCAATGCCCCAGTGAAATCCTTTGTGATTTGTTCAGAACAAGTCCTCACCACTGAGATCTTACCTAGGGCCAAATCCTGTGCCTAAGCATGAAAAGGTGATAAATGGGCCTTACATGAGAGATATTTTCAAGGGTTTGGATAGGACAGAATTCTTCCTACACCATGTTATCTGTCACTGCATATCCATCCCTCCCACCTCCAACACACACTTGAAAACTTACACCAGAGTGATGTTTTGACTTGAGCATGGGTGGCTAAACTGCAGCTTGCAAGCCATGTGGAGTTCTTTTACAGTTAGCGCAACTCCCAGAGCCCACTCCCTTCCCTGCCTAACAGATTGGTAGTGAGGGGAGCTCAGGGCTTCTGCCTTCTGTCAGGGCTTCAGACCTGTGGGGTGCACCTGCAGGACCCTCAAGCCTTGGCAGGGACCTCACATGGGACAGAAGCCTCAAATCTCACCAACTTTTCACAGGGCGGAAGCCCCAAACCCTGAAAAGAGAGCCCAGACAGGGATGATGCCCTGAGCTGCAGCAGGTACACTCAGCTCTCAAGCATATGATTATTGTATTCAGCTCATAGGGTCGGTAAGTTTGGCCACCCCTGGTCTAGAGGATCTGTGTAGTTGTGGTATCTCTGTTAGTGGCCCGTCACATCCCTCCCACCCTGCACATACAATGGAACCACTGCAGTTTTATGAGTAGGGTCTGCCAGACAAGGGAGCTAAGATATACTTTGAGTTTGGATGATACAGGGTATTTGTTGCTCAAGTATATCAATTTGTGATGCCACGATAGCAGCCTTGCATCAGCGGGAAGAAAATAGCTAAAAAAGAGGAGGAAGCAACAGAGGAGTTAGATGAGAGTTGAATGCAAGAGAGAGGGAAGAACTCTGCTCTGTGAAGTGAACACATTCCAATACATCATGATTCCATAATAAAAATCCCTCCTGCTGCTTGTTTCAGGATGCTCCAGTTAAGTTGTGTGACTTTGGATTTGCCAAGATAGACCAAGGAGACTTGATGACGCCCCAGTTCACGCCGTACTATGTAGCACCTCAGGTAATACTTTTGCTATAGGGAAATAATACATGCCACATTTACTGGCCATGCCTTCATACACAGCCCAGTATAATACCCTTTTCCAGGCTTCTAAGGGACTCTTGGAAGGAGAGGGGGGGAACCATGAATAAATAGATCATGTAGATAGCTTTTCAAGAGTAAGAGCCTACATCTACTGATTACAGCCAGGGACTGTGAGCTAAGGGCTCTAGAATCTGTTTCTAGCCTAGGGTACCTGGTAAGCATCCCCCTTACCAGATTTAAATTCAAGAAAGTTCAGCCTGAACAGTTTGTTTGGCAAAGATTCAAGCAGCTGAAAATTGAGTCCTATAGTGGAAAGTGTCAGGTAGCTTTAACTATAAGCATGTGGTTTAGATTTGTACTGTAATTTCTAATATGGATTCTTGCTTTTGTCTTCCCTGCAATAGGTCCTAGAGGCACAAAGACGACATCAGAAAGAGAAATCTGGTATTATCCCTACCTCACCAACACCCTACACTTATAACAAGGTAAACTTTTCAAAGAATCTTGAGTGTTTGCAGCTTTTAAGGAAAGTGCTTTTTCCTTATGCAGGTAGATACCATCATAGAAGTAACCATCACGCTACCCTGAAGTGGGAGAATTTGTGATTAGGAGCAATAAAAAGGTTCAAACTCTAGGTTTTGTGATACATAAAAGGAACCAGGTATCCCACACTGAATTTCATAGTGAAAAGTAACAACCTTAGGGGGAAATGCCACTTTCCCAAATGACCCTTTCTATAGCACTATAGCAAGAATGGAATAATTTGAAGGATAGAATTTTTGATTTGGCTACTTTATAATGTAACAAGTGTTTGAAAATAAAAAATAAATGAGCAGGTGATGCAATGGCAACACTATGGTTACTCTTCCTTGGGTAAATGGTGGTTCTGGTTTTATTAAGTGGTCTTGGAGAATTGTGTGCATGTGAGAATTATGATATGGAAGAAAGCAAAATATTGCTATAAAAATGCTATTCATTGCAACTTAGCTTAATAGTTCAAAATACATATGTCCCTGTTCATAATTGCTTTTTTCAATCATCAATTGTTATTTTAGGGCTAACATATTTCAGAGATGTTATGGATAGTGTCTGCTTGTTAACTGGGTTGTGCAGATAGCTATCTGAGATCTAGTGATAGGAGATATGCTTAATTTTAAAGCCTGCTAACTTGAGCTCTCGTTCATACTGTTTTCTTTTTTTAAGATTATAAATAGTTTTATTATACAATGGGAAACTACTTTAGTGTCTGTACCAGTAAGGGCTTCTCCTAAAAACCAAGTATACTTATGTGCATCTTTCCTTCCATTGTTAGTGGTGTTTTGGCCACTTAAGGTTTTCCTATGATGTTTGCAGCTATGACTGAAGAAAGCCTAGGGTTCTTAGGTTGTAAGGAAAAATGTTTACATTGATCATTCCCAAGGCTAACTTATCAGCTCAGCATATGCTGAAGGAGTCTTCAGTATACAGAGGTACATCTGAGTAGACTATATCGGAAATGGCAAAAGTGATCTCTGTTGCATTACCTCAGTGTCTTGCTTACTTCTTCCTTTTCAGGAAGAGTCACTAAAAAGTAGCTTGGGCAGAGTTGAGCAGGAAGACACCAGTACTTTCCAGACACTTACATAAATAATAGAATAGACAGAGCAGGTCTCCAACAGGAATTTCTTTCAGCGTAGTAATTTGCACACACTGGCACTTTCACACCTTCTCTCATCCATTTGCCATTGAACCTCAGTGATAGGAAAGAGGTCTCAAGTGCTTTTTGATAAGCTGTTAAAGTCACAACAAAGAAACATGGGTGCGCTTGAGTGGACTGCAACAGGTAGACTATCCATAGTGGGTAATTTCTCTCTCTGTCGGCATAGAAGTGTCAAATGCAACTCTTGCAAGTCCTGAAAACGAAATACATTTTTGCTCTCATGTTCATACAGAGTTTTAAGACCGTTTGGTTCTTTTAATGGATTAAATCTGTACCGTAACAAAGTAGGGAAA